GTGCTGGTTGTTCCTCCCCAGGTGCATCACCTTGCACTTCTCTGTGCATGGACGCACTTGCAGGGTATATACTAAAACAGAGGGCCTACTGTAGGGTGGATTTGGCTGATAGTCTTCCAGCAGGAAGTCAGAGATCACCAAGGCTAAGTACAGGCATGCAAAAGCCCGAGGCTGAAAATCTTCTTCACTGTCCAAGTCACCAAGGCCTGGAATAGACTCCCCGCAAAGGTGGTGCAAGCACCTACTTTGGACACTTTCAAGAAACATTTGGATGCCTATCTTGCTGGGATCCTTTGACCCTAGCTGACTTCCTGCCTCTTGGGCAGGGGGCTGGACCCAATGATCTTACGAGGTCCCTTCCAGCCCTAACGTCGATGACATCTATTAATTCAATCTTCACAGGTTAGTCTAAGCTGTGTACATTGAACCTATAAACAAGTGAACAGACATTCACTTTTGATTCTGGAAATGCAGCCACCTGCCTGCAGTGGTCCAGGGGGTGTTGGAGCACATCACCCTGCTCAGCTGGAGCAGACAGCTTGAGCCAAGGCTAGCCCACCCACCCTGCAAGGGAGAGTTTACAGGGGAGGTGCAAAGCATTTTCGGATGCTGGGGGATTGTGAGTTAACATGAATCTGGAGGGGATCTGGGACAGAAGTTCACTAAACAGTTTTAACCTACATCAGTGAAGTCTGATATTACTTCCATCCAGGTTTATCTTAAACCAGTTTCAGCCATTTTGGAAGCAGTTTATATGCACTGAACTTCTGTTGTGTTACAGATTTGAACTAGTTTCCCATCACTTATACCGGTTTATGTGTAATTTCTATCCCTAGCCCAAGAAAAGTCTCCCTCCCCTATTGCTCATTGCCTAAATCAGTCGGCAATAGTTAATAGAAGCTGGATGCCCATAAACCTGGTTAGTCCATATTTCTCTGTATGCTATATCAGGGGTCCAAAGGCTGGAAACCTTTGAGAAGGGTTTTAAACTTCTTTGTAATGCCTTGCAATGCATATGGCATACCTTGTTCTGTGTTTTGGTATGCTTCATTCTTTATTTTATTGATTTATGAATAACAGGCCTCACTATACTTATTTAGTAAGGAGTCATTCATTTATGAAGGACTCTAGTTAGATTAACTTCCAAAGATGCTGAATTCAGGGTTAATAAGTTCCTAGGGAAGTTGTAGGGCAATGAACCAACAGCAATGACCATGTTCAAGATAACCTCAGAGTTGAATCCTAGTTGTTTTTCCAAAAGGAAAAATAAAAATATAAAAAGAAATCCGTAGCTAAACAGACATCACAGCAAAAGGCAGCCAAAACCAAAAATAACTGTCAAAGACAATGAGTGCATGTTATGTTCTGCAGAAGGAGTAGTCCTGGCACAAGGAGATAAAAATGGACAAAACATAGCTACAAATTACAGACTGTTAAACACATAAGTCTTAAAATGACCTGTTCCCTTATGTAAAAGAATCATACATCCTACAGGAGAAGAGAAAGTCATATGGCCTGCCTGGCCATGTTCCAGATTTGCATCAGATGGCCTAGAGGGTAGCTTCCAGCCATTCAAAGCAAAAGTCATTATGGAAACATGCAGCCCATTGGGTTCACCATGAACTACTGCATGAAAGAAAGGTATATAACAAGACTTAAGAGACAGGCTCAAATGGTGCTTGCTACCTGAAGAAAAATGTGATCAACCAGTGATCAAAGCCAGGTCATAACGTGCAAAGCAGAGTGGATTTGAAAATAAAACAAGCAAAGGAATCAGCCACGGACAGACTTCAAGCCTAGTGAAGAAACTGTCAAAAACCCCTGTGTTATTTCCTAGAACGATAAAAGACAGAACTGATATCCAAGGAAGAAGAAATCTCTACTCACCAATGCAATACCCACCTCTACAGTCCTCTGTGCCTGAGACTAAATGCAATTAGAAATAGTGGGATGCTACTGCAAGATTAAATAATAAAGGAAAATCATGGGACTAAATCCTTGAGACTTCCATTCCACTGCACGTTCCAGAAGTATAGACCTATGTTCTGCACACCCCCTCTTCATTATCGTCCCTACTTTTCCTGCGCACAACACTCCTGAGTACATCCATAGTACGGATACTGTCCAGGAGGCAGTGATGCAGCACAGAAAGCAAGGCAGTGTTTTACTCCACCAGGGTGATTCATCTATGACAGGGAAGAAGCACCTCTGGGGAAAGGGGAATTCATTCTCCAAGGTTACTCAGTCCTAGGTTTTCCCTTTTAGATTACCAAGGGCATCAATTGTGTGTCATCTGTGGTGGTATTTATGATTTGTCCACTAGGAGCTGAACTGAGCCTCTTAATCTCATTGCCAAGCCTCCCCAGATACTAATTTAATTTTCATGGTTACCTAGCTGGTTTGTAGGTAATTTTCCAGCTCATTAAAGTAACTCACCTGCTCGGCCTTCTGGTGAAATACAGCAGACATGGCGAGGATGGTGCTGCGCTCATCCAGGGCTGCAGCGAAGCTCTTCCATTCTTGATCCAGCTGGGTGGAGATTTGTTTAATTTGCTGGGAAGCATAATGGCCTGCCTCTGAGAGCCTGGATGCCACTGACATGATGCGATTGATGTTGACGTAGGCGTTCTGAAGAATAAAAAGAATACATGAATAAATAGAAGGGAGAGATGGGGCCATTTTGCATCTGCATTACAAATTCCCACCACCCTCAGCTGCAATAACATCGAGGAGTTGGGTGAGAACAATCGACCACCCCTTTAAATATGCATGAGTTGCAGATACACTACATTTCAGTCTAAAAATAAGTTGCAAAGGATCTTTTAGCACCTGTTCTCCATGATCTATACTGCCACCTCGATTTTATTTAGGTATTTTGGAAAAAATCAGCCACCATATTCTAACTCTCTACTGCCTAATTATGTTCTTTTCATTGCCCTTTCCTTTAGTCTCTTCTTGGTATTGCAGTTATATCCATTCATATGTCCTAGTGCTATTTATAAATGCATAAATATTTGCATTTAATATGAAGAAGACTATGAAATTCTGTTGAAGAGACCAACCTCATCAGGAGATGGGCTAATGTACTTCCTTATGGAAATGTTGTATAAAATTTCAGAGGATTTATAAAAAACCCCCAGAAATATATGAGATTTCATAGAATTTGTTATATAAATTGTATTTTTGAATGAAACACTGACTTTTCCATAATTTTTCTAAAATCATCCTATAGCAGAGACACCATTTAATATTACAATCTGAACAGAGACAGGACTTCAAAACACCTATAAACAACATTTCAATTCATTACATAGGAATTTTCCATGAGATTTTCAATTGTTTTGCTATCAAATGGAATTGCAAACTGTCAAAACCTGCATTATAACCCAATATTTCATGGCAAGACAAATCTCATGATACACAACCATCATGGCAATAGCATGCACAGATGCGCTATCAAAGTGCTTGTGCCTGACAGCAACTGTATTGTGGCTCTCAAACTTTATTAGATGCATTCATTTATTCTGCTGCCTCTGTTCCTCTGTAGATGGTGTGGTAGTCACAGCAATTATAGCTTATTTATCAGTGCTCAATATACTCCTGCTATCTTATTGTGGAGAGGTGGGCTCCCATGACTAACTCTGCCTGCAAGCACATTAGGAAATCCAGCCAGACCTGTACAGTCCCCACGAATCACAGGATGGATATCCGGTGTCTAGCAATTCTGCACCTGATAGGAACACAATTTGCAGTCCGGAGTTGGAAATTCATAACTGGCTGTTTCAAGGGCTTAGTATGTGAGCCAAAAAAATAGTATGAGCTCATGTGTTCGTAGACATGACTGTTATTTTTCAATAGTACTACACAGATAAAGCATTTGCTGGCTCCATCTTAGCGTGGTAAATATGATTTGCTATATTTGAATGACGACAGCTGTGTAGCTCAGTTGCTAGGGAGACTGGCTACAGATGAGGAAGACCTGGGCTTGATCCCAGGTGAAAGCAGCAGGTTTCCATCCATCATTTTCACTTCCAGCACAGCTCTGAGCCCGTCCCGCAGCCTATCTGATGGGCACCAGGTGTCTGCAGTGTGTGCTGACCACATCATCTCCTTCTTGTGTTGAGGTTAAAGAAACAGTGGAGCTCTGCCTCCACTGCCCCAAAGGCCCTGTAAATGGGACAGCTTTACCTTTACAGCCTAAATGCAGGGCATGCACAGATGCTGGACAAAACAATTACAAACTAATCTGCACCCACTTTTGTTGTGTAGAGTCCTAACTGCACTCTTTTTCTTCATCCGGTAATTTTGGCTTGATGTTTCATTTGGCACAAAAATTGTCTTATTTGTTCCAATGACAAGGAGAAAGCCTTCTTTAAAACTGGAAAGATGGGTGAACAGTATGAACCATTTAAAAGGATCAAGAGTCAGAACTGTAACTCTTTTCGGAGTTGTCTCAAGGTCTAACCCATAATCTGCAAACACTAGAAACAGTAACGCTTAACGGTAAGAAGATTTGTAAATATTCAAGGATTTCCCCCAGAAAGTCCACGTGCCTGTAAGGACCAAGCCCAGACTCAGCCAAGACGAGTTTAAAATGTTTTTAGGTTGCCTATCCGTTGTTATAAAGCAACATACCACTGCTACGGTTTGCAGAGCCGTGGCAATTGCACCAGCTGACTTCGTTTCTTTTGAAAGACTAGAAGTGGCCACATAGCAGTTTGGGTTTCATGTGAAGACTGGTTCGTTTTTATAATGGTTTTATATTTGTTTCTTGAACAATGATCTCAGCCCTTGCAATGTAATGAGCATGATCCAACAGAAGGAAACCAAATTGTGATTATTATTTTTTTTTGATTCCTGGTGCCTACAGTATATAAACATTTCAAATAGTAGAGGGGGGAAAGGTAGGATTAATTGAGAGCGAGCAGATGTTCTTAGGTTCTGGCTTTCAAGTTAGGCGTGATTTATATGTATTTTGTATCTGTTGACATAGAGGAATATTTTCATGAGCTCACCTGGAAGAGTACCAACGAGCTCTAAAGCTAGGTAGGTATGTATCCCTTCCTGCTCTTCCAAGCAAAAGGATGCACGGGTGGACTTCTGAATTCACTGCCCAGATGCCTGCTCCACAGTGGAGCAGAGCATTTTCAGGAGAGGAGATTCACCCACGGGATTCAGACACTCCCCACCAGCTTGGATGGGGAATCGGACCGATACAACCTGAGCATCTCGAGGGTATGCTGCAAATCTTCCCTCTTTGATAATGCCTTCTTGCTCTAACTGGAATTACGCTAATTAAAAGGGAATAAACATATAGGCAAAGGAGATTAGCAAAAGACAACAGGAAACCTCTGGGGGCCTTCTCCATGCCAATCTGTGTCCCTGGGAGACAGGTTAGATGGCATGCGCATACGTCCTGCAGGGGAGCACAAATAACAGCGTGGCAGGTTCGCTAAGGCTGAAATGCGGCTGTTGAAGGAATTCTCAAGGAAAAAAACCAAGACAAAACAAAATGCCCCTCAAAGTCTTCCTGGGAGATTTGCAGAAGCATTTGTGAAATGCACCCTACCGTTTGATACGCCCCAGCGGAGAGCACTTCAACAGCAAAGTAGTCTCATAAGGGCCCCGACACCCATCAGACCACATGCAAAGCAAATTGCATGCCTTTTGATGCAGGATCCTACGGGATGGCGTTTTAGCTCAGCCTCGCACAGAATTCAGCCCATTTAATGATAAATGGTAGGAATTTCCAGAAGATGCCATTAGTCTTTACCAGATAATTGTAATGCATTTCAAATGTATTGCGACTCCCTCAGGACAACATGCATCTCCGTCTAATTTCAGACAATTAACTCCTTGGCAACAGGAAGGCTGATTATTCCACCACCGAACACAGCCCTGCTTGCATGCGTTTCTCAGCAATGACTCACTCTTGGATGGGGTTAACAAATACAGGAATGAAACAGCCACGGTGGAGCAGATATGAATAACTTCAATCAGCGCAAACAGCATGTGTGCCAAGCTATCCACATGTAAAACTAAAGTCAATATGATTTGGGCCCATTTAGCTAGGATCTTGTGGTTTACACCAACAGATTAACTAGATTAACGGGCTTACAATCACTACGGTGGAGCGAAATCTTTCTGTTTTAGTGAACCATATTATTATATTGATATAAATATAATACGATTGCAATAACGGCTAGTATAATTCTATAGATCGAATAGAAACAAACACTGGGCCTGATTCCCTGGGAAAAAATATCTGCACAGTTGCTTTTTGAAAGAAACATACTGAGCTACAATTTACTATCTGAAAAATGTATGGCTTCTCCTCTCTAAGCCCCTTCCCACCCCGTCCCCCTTAGAAGGAAGTAGAAGTGTAATAAAAATAAGCAACATTACAAATATTTTTTTTATTCAGAGGGATGCTTGCCAGTGCCAGGCATGCAATGTCTGGGGAAGTGTATTGGAAAGGATGTGGCCTGAGAAAGGACTCAGAGTGCATTGTTCAGATGAAGATAGAAAATTATTTTAACTATTGTTATTCATTTGTTAGGTCCCTCCCAAAAGTACATGTTTAAAGACTAAGGCCCTGTTCCTACTATCACAGGAATCCAGGATTTTTTTTTAAAAGACTTTGCCTGCATTCTCCTCCTCCAGATCCTCCCTCTAAACCCATATTTAAATGTCCTGCCTAGAGGGCATTGACCAGTTTCAGTCCACGCTCAGGATTTTATTACTCATGCGCTTCCTAAAGAACTGGTCATTGGGATCAATATATGATATAATTCTGCTGAATTATTTCCAGCCCTCACGGTTGCAAACCAAAGCTGAAAGACTTGGTCTGAATGCGCTGTAGAGGTTCAGAAAACAGAAGGTAAATCAAGAGGAGTCAAAATCTATTATGATGGGTGTGTTGGTTATTTTTTTTTTTAAGTGGCATGATTGTGTAGCTAACCTCATTCTCAGCACCTGACTCATGTTTTATGAATGCCTGGCATTGCCAATACAGCCACTGGTGAGAGGCAGCGAGGAGGACTGTCAAACAGGGAAGTAAACGTTTATGAAAAGAAAATGAAAGTCTGCAATCTCCGGCTAACAGGGTCACAATGTCATCCCGGGGGCAGCTAACCGGTTTTAAGGCAGGGCAAGAATCTGCCTTATTTTTGCCAGAACGGGTTTCACTAAACACTGAGCTGGGTGAAAAAAAAAACAATGGGTTAGGAAACACTGAGATAATACAAAAAAAGGAAATGAAGATTTATATGTGCTCATTGTGATTGTTTCCCACACCCTTCCCGCCTTTACGGGTGTGTTACACCAGATCCTGCAAACACTTTCTGTAAATGAACTCAATGAGATTACTGACGTGCCTGCAAGTAATTCACGTGCCTAAACGTTGGCGGCATCAGGCCCTTCTTAGATTATAACCTTTCCGAGGCAGAAACCCTGTCTTCCTCTGTGCTCGCACCTCACCTTCCGCAGTGAGGCACCAATCGTAGCCACAGCCTCTTAGCAGTACCACGATATCAATATTACCTAATAACAGCTACATCAAATCCCTGCATAAATTCGGTAGGCATTATCAGGCAATCTCCAGCAGAAATCAGTGACACCTGCAAATG